CTGAGGTGAGGGGAGGAAGAAGACAGATTGTAGCTTGATTGTGAGAGCTTGAAAGGCTTTGCACAACCTTCATGGGGCTCAGGTTGCTTTTCTGGCTGCTAGGGGGTGCCACTGGTATGATTTCAGGGGAAGTTCTCCAAACCAGGAAGGCTCTCTCTTCCCAAAGGAGGAGTGTAATCACTTAGGTGCTAAGGCTTCAAGCTCGGCTCTTTCCGCCCTTATGTACTAGCACAGTTTCTCTGTGGGGAAAGGTGAGCCGCATCCCTAATTGCCACTCCCTGGAACTCCAAGACACACTCCAATCAGATCAGTTCACATTGAGTTCCCTTACCACCTGAGAGCAGCTCTTGGACTTCCACCCAGTCCATGTATCTGACCTAGTGGCATGTATCTTTGCAAAATGTTGGTGGGAAAATAATTCCCTGATTGTGCACCCGTGTTCCCCAACAAGACCCCAAGGGGAGAGTTTTATGCCTCTCTATCCACAGAGGCTGTTGCTCCCGTTTAGTGGTGCACCCGAGGCATTGCTTGCCGTGGAAACCAGGGGTAGGCTATTTCTCTCTGAGTGCTGCACCTTTATCCATTATGGTGTTTCTCCAGCCGGGGTGGGGATTGGGTACACTCACAGATCCTTGTTTCTCAGCACCCCTCCACACTCTCTCATGGGGTATGTTCACAAGGGCTTCCTCACTACCTGAGTCCAGGACCATGACCTCTCCCCTATGTCTCCCTCCACCATTCTCATATCTGGGGAGGTCTGGGGCTGGCTCGCCTATCTCAGCTGCCAGGGCGCGATCCCACGAAAGCCTGGCAGGGAGGAAACTCTGAAGTTGTGGCAGCCCTGCTCTCCATGGCGAGTTCAGTTGGGAGTGTACAGCGGCTGCAGGAAGTGCACACTGGCCATAGAGAAGCAGCTGTTTATGAGCTTCTCCATTCAGAGTATTCTGGAGGTTGCAGTGGGTTGGGGAGGGACTGTAGCTACAGTCACCTGAGCTCAAAGTACTTTCTCTGATGCTGTGAATAGGGGGTTGCAGAGGAGAAAGTGTCTAGATATAAGAAAGCTGGCACTCCCGTCTCTCGTAACATTTTCCCATGGGGTGTCCCGTATGGACACCCGAACACGTGGGGTTTGTTGGTTCACCCCAGTCTTCCTCTTTAGCACTGTGCTGGGCTCGTGGATAGTGAAAGCATCTTAAGTATACTTTGTGTCCCGCTGTTCACTGAAGGCACTTAGGTGGGTAGGGAAACCCCACTTACCCTTTCACTGGGCTTTGATCCTCTTTGGTTTCGATCTGTGCCGCTATTTTCTCCTCTCTATCTTCTTCTTTCTCAGGTTTGCAGGTTTTCTCTGTGTGGTCCCCAAATGTCTCAGTTGTCTCTGTCTGTGATCCTCACTTGAGCTAGGACTCTTCTCTGCCCTCCTCAGTCCAATATTCTACCTTTCAGCCCTGATGGTTCCACAAGCGATGTCTTTAGTCGGCCATCTTCTATTTAAGGTTTTAGGAGGATAACTTTAAATACTTAAAAAAATATTTTATCTAAAATTCTTGCTTTGTTGTGACTTGACATTTATTTATTTCTATAGTCTACATCAGCGGTCCCCAACCTTTTTGGCACTAGGGACCAGTTTCATGAAAGACAATTTTTCACAGACCAGGGGTGGGGGGGATGTTTTTGGGATGATTCAAGTACATTACATTTATTATGCAGTCAAACCTCTCTGGTAATGATAATCTGTATTTGCAGCTGCTCCCCATTGCCACCATCACTGTCCCTGCTCCACCTGAGCTCATCAGGCATTAGATTCTCATAAGGAGTGTGCAGCTTCGATCCCTTTCATGGTGCAGTTTACAGTAGGGTTCTGGTCCTGTGAGAATCTAATGCTGCCTCTGATCTGACAGGAGGTGGAGCTCAGGTGGTGATGTGAGCAATAGGGAAGGGCTATAAATACAGATGAAACTTTGCTCCCTTGCCTGTCACTCACCTCCTGCTCTGGGGCCTGGTTCCTAACAGGCTGTGGAGCACTACCTTGGGGGTTGGGGACCGCAGGTCTACATTATCAAAAAATGCCTTAAATTTTATCTATGTAAATGTGTAAACACATACTGAATCAATAATTTCACAAAGTTTGTAGTGAATTTTGAAAATTTGAGAGTAGATTTGATTTTGTATGGTTTTAGTAAGTTCATGATATTCTAATTAATATAAGAAACTATTAAATATAGTAAAAAGAGCTTATGTTATTATTTGTTTTTGTTGCAATAAATGATGTAGTAGTACTTTTTGCACATTAAAAGTTGGTCTGTAAATAAAAAGTCAGTCAAGTTTCCTGTGCTACTGTCTAATATTGATGATACACATCTTCTGGCAATTATTTTGTTTTTGTTATACTACTTGAAAGCAAACAATGTTTTAAAAATTAAATTGAAGTATTTCCTATTAATATAACTGTTTAAATATTTGTTACTGTTGAAACTACTACCTTTCTAGTCTTATGTGCGTAGGGGGTTATTAGAAATGTTATGGACCTCAAGTAGATAGCTGAAATTGTAATCCAGAACAGGAAGGTTTTAGAGATAATCAACTTTAAAGACATAGTGAGAGATAAAATTAAAACACTTATATTATTGAAGGGCAACTATGAGAAGCATCATAATTCATTGATATTTTGAATCTGGATGACTTGGGCAGGTGTTGGTGTTAATTCAAGGGATTGTTGGGATAGAAGGATTCTTGATTCCTATATTATTTTATTTAAGGATTAATTTTGCAGTTCCAGGCATGGAGTTAAGACAGGCTCTTTTTTCTTTAAAAGTAAGAGTCTTATACTGAGACTCACATTCATAAGGTATAAGTTAAATACAGGCAACCTTTAGTGAGAACCAATAGAGGAAGAAAGAAGGTAAATCTCTAGTGAAAGAGGAAAACTAAAGATATATAACTTTTTATCAATGAAGGTAGGGTTCCATGCACACTGTCAGCACTAATGATTGTTAGAGTTGTTTTTGTAGCTAGCAGATTCTCAAGAAAACTAAGTACTTCCTCTTCAAATGGGAGGAAAGATGACTTTTCTATTGAGAGGTACAAAAATATAGGAGGCTGGGGGCAGTGTAGCCTCTGGCTGTCCCGTAGAGACTCACAAGTCCTTCCTTTTTATTTGGCTACCTGGATAGTGTCTTGACTCTTAATAAAAACAGCCAAACATTTTAGGGGCTGGACTGACCAAACATATTGAAGGTGGGCACAAGTAAATATCTTGCTAAAAATAAATAGCTAAATGCCAGTTACACTTTTACATTTCAAACTAGTATCCAAATTTAAACTGTATTATATTTAATTTCCATTATTAGGGGGGCATAGATGTAGCCTATTGACTTCTCTTATTTTAGAGACAATTTGATGTCTAAGAGAAGTGTCTTTTTTATAAAGTAACATTTGTTTAGGAAGCCTAATAGCCCTTAAAGGATCCATATCAGGGGATTTTTCTTGCTTTTTGAGTATTTTGATTTGTAACCAAAGTTCTTCCGATTATCTTCAAGTTACTCCATTCTGTGTAATCCGTAACCTTAGAAATGGAATGGTTTTAGCTATGAAAAGTAATGGGCACTCAGGTGAATGGTATGTTATTTATACTTAAGTTCTAATGTGAGTCAATATTAAGTATACATATCATTAAGTATATATAAGAATAACTTTGTATGTTTTATTTGATGTGACATTTAAGTCTGTATGGGCACTTACAGATTTTTCTTGTATTACATAGTAAAACATTCTGCCTACTGGATCATCTGTTTAAAAATACATGAATAATTAATTAATTTTTTTATCTAGTGAGACTAAAGAGCAAATAGTACTACTTTGCATGAAATGATGGAAAAGTATGTTTGTAAAAGTTATTGAAGGTATAGATAAAGAATTTTTTTGTTTAATTAGGCTTTTCTAGGTTCTAAAGATAATTAAATGCTAGAAAGTCTTACCTTCTTTTTGTTTGAATAAACAAAATGGATTAAGAATTAAAAATTACTGTTATTACTTATAATGGATTTATGTATTAAAACCAAATCTCTAAGAAGTATACATATTAGATAATGAGAAATACCTGTAGGTGGAGTCAAGATTTTCTTAAGAAAACAGTCTTGGTTCCTCTTCAGTATATGAGCAGACGAGGAGGGATCTAGGAATTAGGATTCTGTCCCATGGAGCATAGCTATAATAATTTTATTCTTGAAAAAGTTCAAAGCAGGTACTACCTGTGGTTCATTTTCATGGTCATTATAAAACTCTCAAGGCACCCTGTGTTCGAACATGTTATTTTTCTAATTTTAAATGAAACTTCTAAGATAAATTAGCAGTAAAATGCAACTTTCTCCAAAGTCCCCCTTCCCAGTCAATGTAATAATATTGTATATAGAATTATTGGATAGAAGCCAATTAGGTTTTACAGAATAGTTTTCTATGAATGATGGTTTGGGGCTGGGCACTCTGAGAGGCTGAGGCGGGAGGATCATTTGAGCTCGGAAGTTTGAGACCAGCCTGAGCAAGAGCGAGACCCCGTCTCTACTAAAAATAGAAGAAATTAGCCAGGTGTGGTGGCATGCACCCTACAGTGCCACCTACTCAGGAGGCTTAGGCAGGAGGGTCTCTGGAGCCCAGGAGTTTGAGGTTACAGTGAGCTATGATGACACCATTGTACTTCAGTTGGGGCAACAGAACAAGACTCTGTCAAACAAACAAAAAAAAATGATGGTGTGGTTTTACATTACCTGTTATAATATTAAATAGATAATAAGAATAATTGTTTTTGAATCAGTTGCTTTTGTCAATAATATCATTTGCATAGAGTAAAACATAGCATAGTTCTCTGTATCTAGCTGATTAAGAATTTGTTTTGAGGCCTTAAGCTATAAGCTAAAAAGATGAGGGAAGAGTAATATTAAAATATATACTTAGTATATCTAATTGATGCTGAAAATATTAATATAAAATTTTATTTCTTATAGGTTCTACAAATCAACAAGACTTCTCCACAGGGAAAAGTGAAGATTTGGGAACAGTCCAGGAGAAGTCTACTAAAAGCCTTGTTATAGGTCCTCTTGATTTTCACTTGGATAGTAGTGCAGTACATAGGATTTTGAAAATGATTGTTTGTGCCTTGGAACATGAATATGAACCATATAGCAAGCTAAAACCAGGTTTGTTTTGGATTAATTCTGAATCTGTTGCCAGTTGATTTAAATGATTATATAATTCAGTTTGTGCTGTTTTGCCAACTTTCCCTTTTTAGTGTATTTTGCCTGTCTGCAAGGACTTTTATATATTCACTTGTTAATTTAAAGAATAAATTCTTTAAATGGAAGTTGTAGTAGAAGAGGTCAAAACTTGGAAATTATTTTTATGTGTACTTTATTTGCCAGTAATTGTCAGTATTTTATTGTCATACCTTTTTGATACTCTTTCTCGTGTATGCTTGTTAGTTATGACCATTTTTTCATCTTCATGGATTCTGAGGAGCCAGTTATTAAGCTGGACTTTAAACCTACAAATTTAATACTCAGGAAAACTTAGGTACTGCTGGTAAAAAAGAATTTGCTATACAACTAATGTTTTCTCGTGATATGAAGTTATGGCTATCATAGTTTCATAAAATACAAATTCAATTTGAATGCAGTAAAGCAATTCTTGAGTAGAGTAGAACATAATAGCATAATGAGGGGTATAGGATATTAAGAACTCAGCCTGTGGAATCAGACTGTGGTTTGGAATCTGACCCCCTACTTCTTATTTAATGAACATCTTTGATCTTCCATTTCTCTATTTCTATAATGAGTTATTGTGACAGAGATGGCTAGTTGTTTCCCCAATAGCCATTCTCTTTTTTATAGCAACAGAAATTTAATCTTAGAAATAAAGACTATACATTCCAGGTGTAGTCATGACTAGGTTCTGGCTACAGGAATGGGAGCAGAACTTCATGTGAAGTTTTGGGCCATGACTCTAAAAGGAAAAGAGCATGCCTTCCTGTTTTCCTTCTCTCCTTCCTTCTGACTAGAAAGTAAATATAATGATAGGGGCTGGAGCTGTCATCTTAGACCCTGAGATTTTAGTTGCATGCTGAGGATGACAGAGCAGCAAGGTAAGAACCCAGGTCCTCAGTACTGTGAAAGCATCATGTGTCAGCCCTGGATCCTTTAGGCTCAGATTGTTGTGTGAAAGAGAAATAAATTCCAGCTTTTGTTGAAGTTTCTATTATTTTGCATTTGTCACAGCAACTTCACTGTTATCTTAAATGATACGCTAATAGGACCTACTTCCAAAAGTGCTTGTGAGTACTAAGTGAGGTATTGCATATAAAAGTACTTAACCCAATGTTAGTGCAGAGGAAGTGCTTGGCATGTTCATGCATTCATTTCTTGCATCTGACTTGTAATGCCACACACTCTTCTAAGTGCTAGGATAGTATAGCAAACAAAATATACAGAGTCTCTGCCCTCATGGAGCTTATATCTTTGTGGGGTAGATGAATAATAAGTAAAAATATTATTTCAGTCATTAATAAATGCTTTATGAGAAAAAATAAAAGCAGGTGTAGGGAAGAGTGCTAGAGAAAGGAGAGAAGAGTTGTTTTAGTAGGGAGGTTAGGAAAGTCATCTGTGGAGAGTTTATATATGAGCTAACTTGTGAATGATGTAAGGGAGTGAGTCATGCAATATCTGTGAAAAGAGAGTTTTATGTAGACAAGTGCTAGAGCCTTGAGGTAGGAATGATTTTGGCAGTTTACAGAGTATAAAAATACACTGGTATAGCTGGAGCACAATAAATGTTGATAAGTCAGAGAGGTAGACATAAATCACTCTGTCAGGCCATAGGGACCAAGGAATCAAGATTTTATTCTAAATGTAATGGGAAATCATTGGCAAGTTTTGAGTAGGAAGCTATTATTTTAATATGAAATAGTAGAGTTGACATGTATTGTTCATTTTTTAAAATTTTGGATTTTCCTAGTTTTACTTGTACTCATTTGTGTGTGTGTGTGTGTGTGTGTGTGTATTAAGTTTTTTACAGTTTTATCACCTGTGTAGGTTTGTGTGTTCACTACCACAGTCAAGAAAATGAACAGTTCCAATATTGCAAGGATCCCTCTTGTTGCTCTTTTATATATCCACCTCCCCACCATGTCCCTCTCTCTTCTCTTGTTCTTAACCCCTGGAAACCATTTCTTCCATTTCTAAAATTTTGTCATTTTTACATAAGTGGGATCATATAGTATATAAGGTTTTGGGGATTGTCTTATTTTGCTAACCACAGTTCTCTGGAGATTCTTCTAAGTTGTTGCATGTATCAATAGTTTGTTTCTTTTTATTGCTGAGTAGTGTTCCATTGTAGGTACGTACTATGGTTTGTTAGAACTCTCACTTGTGAAAGGACATTTGTGATGAGTCCAATGTTGGGCTATTACAAATAAAGCTGCTCCAAACAATTGGGTACTTGTTTTTGTGTGAACTCTTTCATTTCTTTGGGATAAATCCCTAGGTGTGCAATTGCTGGGTCATACGATAGTTGCATGTTTAATTTTTATAAAGAAACTGCCAAACTGTTTTCAAGAGTAGCTGTATCATTTTATATTTCCATCAGCATTGAATGAGTCATCCAATTTCTCTACCTTCTCCCAACATTTGATGTTGTCACTGTTTTTTAGTGTAGCCATTCTGATAGATGTGTAGTTTTGATTAGTTAGCAACAATCTCGTAGTTTCAGTTAGCATTTCCTTATTGGCTAATGATGTTGAACATCTTTTCCTGTGCTTATTTGCCATCTGTTATTTCTTCAGTGAAATGTCTGTTCATGTCTTTGCCTGTTTTTTTAACTGGATTTTTTCCTAAAAATTTTATTTTTCATTTTATACCTAAGTGTGTCATCCATTTTGAGTTCATTTTTTAATATAAGTGGTGAGATTTAGGTAGAGGTTTATTTATTTGCCTTAGGATTTCTAATTGCTCTAGCACCATTTGTTGAAAAGGCTATCCTTCCTCTATTGAATTGGTTTTGCACCTTTGTCAAAAATCAATTGAGCATATTTATGTGGGTCTGTTTCTGGGTCCTGTAGTCTGTTTTCCATTAGTAGACCTATGATCTTTTGCTCCATCAATACCATATTGACTTGATTACTATAGCTCTATAATAAACCTTTATACTGGATGGAGAAGTTATTCCTTTTGATTGTGGGGGAGTATTTTCAGAGGTTAGAAAGAACCTCTTTATAACTTTCATTAGCTTGTATCTCTAATGGGTTATTGGCTTGGCTGTTTTAATATAGACCTATTGATATACTTTGTTTTTCTCATGTAAAAGTCCAAGGTGGTCAGCATTCTGGGGCAACTCTGTTTTGTGAGCTTGTTTAGACCCAGATTACTATAATTTTGTTGTTGTGCCATCCCCTGAGATACAATTTATCTATATGGTCAGTGTTAGCTCACCATTACAGGGTGTAAATTAATAAGGAAAAAGGGGGAAACAAGAGAATAATGGTAGGTATTATAGTCTCGTTTTTAAAGACTTGGCTCTGTCATCCCATTGGCCCAAATGGTGACATGTTTCCTCACCTAACTACAATGTAATCTCTAGGAGTCTGTATATCTGACTTAAATTCAGAGGGTTTTATTGTTAAATGAAAGAAGGAGACAAATCTCTGTCACAGTGAAAGTATGTCATTTGTGTTTATATATTGGCTTATTTAAATATTGGAAGCAATGTATCATTTCAAAAATGTGATGTATATAAAGAAACTGCTAGCTGACTTTAGGTTTAATATACATGCAGTCCTCACTTTGCATGGTGATATGAAGCTATAAAAATGACCTTGCAAAGTGATGTAAATCAGCGGGAAGAATTAGAATTGTTCTAATTAGAAATCAGAAATTTTGGTCAAAGCATTAAATACTCTCTTACTGTTGGTTATAAATATTTAAAGAAATGATAAAAATAGTAAAAGGAATAGTAAAATTATGAAAGAATTTGATTTCTTTGAAAACACTTAAGAGTTGTTTGAACAATTTTTATCTCCTTTTTGTATAACTTTACAATATGCAGTGTCTTTCCTATGTCTTAGCAAATTGTCATATTCCTTTCTAAGTTTTGATAAGATTCTAACATTTTATCCTATATAGTTCAGTGTCACGAAAACCTCTTCAGAGTTGCTTTAATAGGAAGTATTTTACTTGCGTCATTTCTTCTGAGAGCTCTTCATTCTTTTCATCACAACCACTTTTCTCATCTGGTTGATCAATGTCTTCATCATGTTCCTCTAGCTTCATATCTAGAGTCTTTTGAAAGATACAGTGTCAGTAGTACCATAGTCATTTATTTCTTCTATCACTCCACTTACGTGTGATTAGAATTTCATTTCCAGGCAGGGCGTCGTGGCTTATGCCTGTAATTATAGGCTTTGGGAGGCTGAGGCAAGAGGATCATTTGAGACCAGGAGTTTGACACCAGCCTGAAACCTGTCTCTACCAAAAAAAAATGTATATATTTTATATATATAATATATTTTATATATTTATGTGTGTGTGTGTGTATATATATATATATAAAGCCAGACTCAGGACATGAGCTTATAGCCCCAGCTACTGGGGAGGCTGAGGCAGGAGGATCACTGGAGCCTAGAAGTTCACGGGTTCAGTGAACTATGATTGTGCCACTGTATTCCAGCCAGGTTAACAGAGTGAGACCCTCATCTCAGAAGAAAGAGAAGAATTTCACTTCATTTCCAGTGTTATCACTTTTTGTTTCTTTGCTGTACTTTTATCATTTATCTATTTAGATTATTCATTTTTGTAAAGTGTCATGTGGGATTATCAGTGGTAAATAAGGAGGCAACACTACATGTTTTTCTATCTATGCATGAGCTAAATAACAGCAATACCAGTCTCCAAACCTGACAGAATTTGAAAGAAGTCACGTGATTGGTCATTGATCATCATGCCCATGTTTTGTTTACATAATTATTTGTGGACTGAGAACTAGCTGTTTGTAATTTATACAATTATTAACAGTTAATATACCATGGTAACCGATATTTGAACCAAGTTGTTTGGGAACTGGCATTTTTTTTTCCTTTTTCTTTTTCTTTTCTTTTTTTTTTTTAATTTCAAAGTATTATGGGAGTACAAATGTTATTGGTTACATGGATTGCTTTTGTAATGCTTGAGTCAAGGTTAAAAGTGTGCCCATCACCCAGGTAGTGTTCATTTTACCTGTCCTGAAGAACGATGACTTAATTTTAGCCTTTTGCAACAATTCGGATGGAACTGGAGACCATTATCCTAAGTGAAGTATGTAAAGAATGAGAACTGGTATTTTTAAATTAAACTGTGGTAACTAAAATTCTTGCATATCAGCACTGTGCAAAGTGATGGCTGCCTGAATATACGTATATAGTCGTCCCTCAGTACCTATGGGGAATTGCTTCTGCAAATCATCTCTCGATTACTTAAAATACCTAAACAATGTAAATAGGTGTTATACTGTATTGTTTAGGGAATAATGACAAGTTCAATACAGATAGAACTATCCATTTTTGGCAGGGAGGGGGTTTATTTTTGATCCACAGTTGGTCGAATCTATGGCTATGGAACCCAGGGATACAGAGTACCATATATATATATATATATGTTTGTGTGTGTGTATGTGTATTAAATCTTAAGGTGTTAGCAGTTGTATTTTTTTTTGTTTTTGCTTTTTATTGATGTATATGTGCATATAGGAAAGTACACAAAACCTAAGGGCATAGTTCTGTGAGTTTTGCAAACTTAACCACATCTGTATAACTATTCAAGAAATGGAAACTTACCGGCACTTCAGAAATCCCCATTGTGCCTTCTTTTGATTATTTTTCTGACCTTAAGGGTAACCACTGTCCTTACTTCTAATGTCACAGATTTAGTTTCTCTTATTTTTGAATCATGTAAGTGGAATCAGACAGTATGTGCTCTTTTGTCTCTGGTCTTACCTCACATTATGTTTATGAGATATATTCTCATTGATGTATATATTCCCATTTTGTGAATATACCATAACTTATTTATTCATTTACTGTTTATGAGTATTTGGTTAGTTTTTAGTTTTTTGCTATTTTGTAGTACATGTCTTTGGTGAATTATATGTATGCATTTCTGTTGGCTATCTAAGAGTAGAATCACTAGGTCGAAGGATTGTGTATGTTCACCTTTAGTAGATAATTCTAAAGTGTATTCCTGACCGATTGAACCACTTTACACTCCTATGAGCGGTATAGTAGAGTTTTAGCTGCTTTTGATTAAATTATGGCCTGCTGCCAGTTTTAGTACAGCCCACGATCAGAGAATGGTTTTTATACTTTAAATAATTGGAAAAAATAAAAATAAGAATTGTATTTTGTGACACATGAAAATTATATGAAATTTAATTTTGAGTTTCTATAAGTAAAGTTTTATTGGAACATAGACATGCTCATTTGATTATGTATTGTCTGTGGTTGTTTTTGTGCTACAATGGCAGATTTGAATAATTGTAACAGAGACTATATGGCCCTGAAAGCCTAAAATAGTTCCTATATGGCTTTTTATAGAAAAAGGTTGCTGACCTTTGTTCTCTGTGCATGCTCCATATTTAGTATTCTCAGTCTTTTTCATTTTATCCATTCCAGTGGGTATGTAGTACATTCACATTGTGACTTTATTTGCAGTTACCTAATGCCTAATGATGTTGACCAGCTTTTGATATAATTTTTGGCCATTGGCTATATCATCTTTTGCTTATTCAAGTCTTTTTTGCCCATTTATCTATTGAATTATTTGTCTATTTCTTAATGATTTTCAGGAGATTTTTAATGTTTTTAAAAAATATGCTGTGGATATCATACTTTGGAGGTCTCTCTCTCTCTCTCTCATGTGTGCACTTGCTCTTTTTCTCTCTCTGTCTCTCTCTGAGAAATATTTTCTCCCAGTCTGTGCCTTGCCTTTATATTATCTTAGTGGTATTTGGATGACCAGGCACTTGTTATTGTTTTAAAGAAAGAAATTGGGAATTTATTAAAGATATTTTAAAATAACAAACTGGTAAATTTTTGTGTAGGAAAGACATACATTTACATTCTAGAGTAGCGTAATCTATATTTGTTAGTGGTAACTTATTATTTTATAACTACTTCATTGTTGAAAAGAAAAACAGAATTTGACCTCCATATTTGGGGAACTAATTAATTCATTTTTCAGTTGTTTCAGAAAATTAACTATTTAAAAATATTCCTCATTAAATTCTCTGATTTTCATTTTAGATATTAAGCATGATAATGAAACAATACTGAATCCTGAAGAAGTAGCTTCTCTGGAGGAGTATATTCCTACTCGACATACAAGTGTTACTCTCCTCAAATGTACCTGCACGATTTTCATGGCTGAATTCAACTTGCTAGACCATTTGCTACCTGTCATTATGGGAGAAAAGGTATATTTTGTGATTAACTACTTTTTTCCTTTCATGCATGTATTTTTTTTTGTCATTTAATAAAAGAATATTTGCTCATACAGTTATCCACGATGAAGTAAAATTGTTAATTCTTAAAAAGTAATTTAAATATATATTTTAATAAAATAAACTTAAGCAAAGGATGTATTAATATAAAGAAATGTTGAAGCGCATGGGTCTAGATGTTAGACCTTAGGCAGTTGCTTTATATCTGTAAGATTTGTTTTCTTTTTCTCAAAAACAAAATTATATTTTTTCAAGAAAGCTGACATATTTAGCCAATAAAGAAGCAATAATACCAGGTAGATTCAGACAGTTTATTCCTCACATAGACAGCAAAAGCAAAATCAATAATGGTGTCAGCGCCCACTGTCCCTTGTTCTGTAGGATGACACTGCAACTAACAGGCCAAATGCCTTCTAAACATGTGTGCGAGGGTTCTCTGTTGGCAAGGATCCAATTTCACACTGCAGCTAAGCAGTCATGTAGCCTGTTACTGATAATGTGGAAAGCCCCATATCTCACTTGTATGAGGGATGCTGATGAGAAACTGTTTCATGGCGGCCTCCCTCAAGATGGGAAGGTAAATGAGAAATGGTCTTTCAGTAGCTCCTCATGAGACCACCTATCTTTCCCTGTTATGAGAGTATTATAAGATGTTCTACCAAGGCTTAGGTCTGCTGTGGTTGAACCTTGCCTTCATGGCATCGATTTGTGTAACATTGTCAGGGTGCTGGCATAGACTAGGTCCCCTATAGTACCTAGCTCCTAGGATTATTTTGAAGGTTCACGTCAAAATTGAACAAAAGGTACAGAGAGCTACCATTTAATCCCTCCCCTCCATAGATGCATAACTTCCTTCATTATCAACATACCTCGGTAAAGTGGTGTATTTGTTATAATTGATGAACCTACCATATCATTATCATTCAAAGTCCATAGTTTACATTAGAGTTCACTCCTGGTGTTTTATGTTCTGTGGGTTTTGACAAATGTATGATGACATGTATCTATTGTAACTGTATTACATAGGGTAGTTTCAATGCCCTAAAAATCCTCTGTGCTCTGCCTATTCATACCTCCCTCCCCCTAACCCCTGGCAACCACTAACCACTAATCTTTTTACTGTCTCCATAGTTTTGCCTTTTCTAGAATGTCATGTAGTTGGAATCATACAATATGTAGCCTTTTGACATTGACTTCTTTCACTTAGTAATATGCATTTAAGGTTCCTCCATGTCTTTGATAGTTCCTGTGACTTGATAGTTCATTTCTTTTTAGCACTGACTAATGTTACGTTGTGAATGTACCACAGTTTATTTATCCATTCACCTACTGAAGGACATCTTGGTTGCTTCCATGTTTTGATAGTTAGGAATAAAGCAGCTATAAACACCCGTGTGCAGGTTTTTGTGTGTGAGCATGTTTTTACCTCCTTTGGGTAAATACGAAGGAGTGTGATTGCTGGGTTGTATGCTACGAGTATATTTAGTTTTCTAAGAAACTACCAAACTGTCTTCTGAATTGGCTGTATGTTGTGTTTTTGCCATTCTAATAGATGTGTAGTGGTATCTTGTTTTAATTTTCATTTCCCTGATGACATATGAGGTGGAGCATTTTTTCATCTGCTTATTTGCCATCTGTATACCTTTTTTGGTGAGGTGTCTCTTCAGATCTGTTGCCCATTTTTTAATAGGGTTATTTGTTTTCTTAATGTTGAGTTTTAAGTGTTTCTTGTAGATTTTGGGTAGTAGTCCTTTATCAGATAGGTCTTTTGCAAATATTTACCCCCCGTCTGTGGCTTGTCTTTGCATTCTCTTGACGGTGTATTTTGCAGAGCAGAATTTTGAAATTTTAATGAAGTACAGCATATCAGTTCTTTCTTTTATGGATTGTGCCTTTGATATTGTATCTAAAAGTCATCACCATTCCCAAGGTCATCACCTTGTATCTTTTAAGAAATTGGTCTATTTCATGTAGATTATCAAATTTGTGGGCATTGAATTGGATAGTATTTTTTTTTAATTGAAGTAAGGAAAAAAACATAGTATTTCTTTATTATCCTGTTAATATCCATGGGATTTGTAGTGATGTTCCTCTTTCATTTCTGATATCAATAATTTGTGTCCTCTTTCTTTTATTCTTAGTTAGCCTGGCTAGAGGCTTATTCATTTTTGTTGATTTTTTTCACAGAAATAGCTTTTGGTTTTGTTGATTTCCTGTTTTCAGTCTCATTGATTTGTTTCAATTTTTGTTTAATTTAATGTTTAATGTTTGTAATAATTATTTCTTTTCTTCTGCTTATTTTGGGTTTAGTTTGCTCTTTTTCTAGTTTCCTAAGGTTAGATGATTGATTTTAGATTTTCCTCTTTTCTTATGTTAATATATATATTCAATGCTATAAACTTCCCTCTAATTACTGCTTTCACTGCATCCCACAAATTTTGATAAGCTGTATTTTCATTTTCACTTAATTCAAAGTATTTTTAATTTCTCTCGAGATTTTTTTCTTCGACTCATGTGCTATCGAAAAGTTGCTTAATCTCCAAGTATTTTGAGATTTTTTTCAGTTAAGAGTTCTATTATCGATTTCTAGTTTAATTCCATTGTAGTCTGAGAACAAACATTAGAGGATTTCTATTCTTTTAAACTTGTTTTGATGTGTTTTATGGCCTAGAATGTGTTCTATCTTGGTGAATGTTCCATGCAAGCTTTAAAAGAATTCTGCTCTTGCTGGATGAAACCATCCATTGATGTCCGTTATATCTAGGTGACAGATAGTGTTAAGTTCAGTTCCTTATCGATTTTCTGTGTGTTGGATCTGTTTACTTATAATAGAAGGATGTTGAAGTCTACAACTAAAATAGTGGATTCATGTATTTTGTCCTTTAAGTTCTATCAGCTTTTGCTTCATGTATTTTTACACTGTGTCTTTAGGCATATACGGAGAGTTGACTTCTTTATCATTACTGAATCCCCTTTATCCTGGATAACTTTCCTAAGTCTGATTTCTCCTTTGTCTGAAATTAACATAGACAGTCCCACTTTCTTTTGATTAGTGTTAGTATGATATATATTTTTCTATTTAATCTCTATGTGTCTTTATATTTAAAGTGGATTTCTTGTAGGCAACATATTGAGTCTTTTTCTTGATCTACTGTCTCTCTTTTAATTGGTTGATTAAAATTATTGATGTGAGGTGGGCGATTATTGATATAATTGGATTTATATCAACCATATATATTATTATTTTCTATTTATTGCCCTTGTTCTTTGTTCCTGTTTTTGTCTTCCACTCTTTTTTTTCCTTTTTGTGGTTTTAATTGAGCATATATGATTCTATTTTTTATTTTCTTTCCTTGGTTAGCATATCTGCTCTACCACTTTTTTTACTCATTTTAGTGTTTGCCCTACAGTTTGCATTATATGTTACAACTAATTCAGATCCACTTTCAAATAACCCTATATCACTTTACAGGTAGTGTGAGTTCTTTATAAAAAACAAATCTAACTTGAGCTTCCTATTCTTTGTATCATTGCTGTGACTCATTTTTCTTCCATATAAGCTTGCATAAACCTATATATTAACAATATATATACATACACGCATACATACATAAGCATACATAATTGAATACATTGTTGCTATTATTATTTTCAATAAACTTACATGTTGGATAAATAAAGAATAAGAAAAATTAAAGGTTTTAATTTTATCTTTACTAATTCCTTCCCTATGCTCTTTGTTTCTTTATGTAGATATGAGATTCTGACTTTTATCATTTTCCTTCTCGCTAAAGAATTTCTTTTACTATTGCTTGTAACGCAGGTCTGCTGGCAACAAATTTCCTCAATTTTTGTTTGAGAAAGTCTTTTTTTTCTCCTTCACTTTTGAAATGTAATTTCATGGATACAGAATTCTAGGTTGGTGGATTTTTTTCTTCTCAACACTTAAAGTACTTCATTTTACTCTCTTCTTGCTTGCATGTTTTTTGAGTAGAGGTCAAATATAATTCAGTTATTGTTTCTTTATAGGTAAGATGTATTTTTCCTCTGGTTTTTTTCAGGAACTTATCTTTGATTTTCTGTCCTTTGAAAATGATTTGGTTAAGTGTAGGTTTTTTGTTTTTTTTTTTTTAATTTATCCTGCTTGGTGTTTTCTGAGCTTCCTGGATCTGTGGTTTGGTCTCTGACATTAATTTGGTGAAGCTCTTAGTTATTATTGCTTTAGATGTTTCTTATGTTCCTTTCTCTTTTTCTTCTCCTTCTGGAATTTCTATCATATATATGTTAATGTCTTTTGTAGTCATCCCAGAGTTCTTGAATATTTTGCTTTTTGGTTTGCTTTTCAATTTTGGCAGTTTTTATTGAGATATCCTCAAGGTCAGAGATTCTTTCTTCAGCCATATTTAGTCTTCCAGTATGCCCATCAAAGAGAAAAATGCTAGTAAAGAGGCCTCATTGAGAAAGCAGCCCCCAAATCTGGATAAAATTTCCTTTATACTGTTGGCTAACTCTTAAGCTGCCCATGTGCAAAGCAAGACTTCAGGACACACAGCAGAAAACACAGGCTAAATAGCAAAGTAGAAATTTCACTATCTGCATGGTGTCAAGTATCAACAGTTACAGTTTAGGCCCTGCCATTTTAGCACCTGGGGCTCTCCTTTGAAATTTCTAAGAGCCATACCATAGGAATAAGTGCAAATCGAAATAGATTACTTCTATGAAAACCTAATTGCAGTCCTGCATAGGACCATGATGATATGCTTGCATTCTGTCCACTTGCCAAAGAATAGTTAACTTATTTCAGAGGAAGATGATATTATCAAGAGCCTCTATAATTTTTTATCTGTGATGTCAGCTGCCTAATAAAAAATTATGAGGTATACTAGAGAACAGAACCGATTGAATTAAATAGAATGAAAAAAATTAATAATATAAGTAGACATAGACACGATTAAGATATGGGAGTTATTACATGTGGACTTTAACTCTGATAAGTTCAAGGAAAATGACAAAGAGGCAGATTTCAAAGAGACCTCAATCCATAAAAAAAGAACCAAGTTATAAACTGTGAAACTGGAATTTATAAGGATATAGCTTAGAAGTAAAAGGATATAAAAAATATACCATTTAAATGCTAATCAAAAGAAAAATAGTATGGTTATTTTAATACTAGAAAAAGTAGATTTTAAGGTAATAAGTATGATTAGAGATAAAGAGAACCACTTCATAGTGATAAAAATGTGAACTCAAAAGAATGAACAACATAGATAATTCTCACAGATGTTATGTCAGGTGAAAGAATATGTACTGTATGGTATCATTTATATGACGTTCAAGAGTAAAAACTAAATTATGGTGACTGAGGTGAGAATATTGGCTACCTCTGCTGGGAATTTGATATTGCCTCCAATGGGACATGGGGCAGTCTTCAGGTGGGTGGTGATTAAAGATGTTAAACATGGAAAAAGTCATTGAGCTCTACATTTCAGATTTGTGTGCTTTACTTTATCCTTCTTAATAATCCAAAATAAAATCACTTAAAAAAGCAAAGTAATTGCTGACTAAATTGTGGTTTTAAAATTATTAATAATGGTCAAATATCAGGATTGTATGTTCAACTTAGTCAATTGTAGGCACAGTATTTCTTGGTAATGATACTATTGGCCTTTTGGATTGGAGAATTATTATGTAGCATTTACCATCTTTGGCTAATGCCTGGGTAAAGGCCAGTAGTATTGTAATAGTGAAAGACAAAACAATGAAACCGGCTCTTCTCACAGATTTTTACATTCCTCTGGATAGAAAGTCATGATGTTCCTCACTGAGAACCACAGGTAAGGCATATTAAGGAAGTAAAGGAGTTCTTGGACAGGAAAGGGTTACTGGCCAATAAGGGTACATACTCCAGAAGTCTTGAAATTACCTGTATTTATTCGGAAGCTCAGATTCTGTAACTGAAAATACCAAGCCCATCTCAAGATTTTGAGGATTTTATGAGCCTTTAACATGTGTATTGTTAGTAGACATGATACGGATCAGAAATTTTTCCTTCCTGCAAACGTTGCTTATTGTATTTTTGATACTGTGTGGTGTGGTCCATTTATTTCTTAGTCATCTAACTATGAATAAAGGGACAGAAAATAAAAGATGGCTGACTCTTGTATATCCAGACCATTTTTTGGAATGATTGAGCTTAAGAAAATACCTTCATCATAGTGAGGCATGTAGTTGATTGAAAAAGTAAAAAGCTTTAGCTAAAAAAGCAATGATAATTTTGCAACAAATATGCATTCTTTGAGATCTGGGACATACTTAAAAAGAGAGTTCTGTAGAAAGACATCATTTCTAGATTGATTCGATATTACTGCAAAATGTGCAGGTCTAAATCTTATATAGAGGAAATTGCAACTTATTCACTACTCTTAAAATATAAAATGAAACTATTATTTTCTAGAACTCAAGTACGTTCATGAATACTACAAACTTCCAGTCTCTTCGGCCTTTGCCATCCATTCAGATATTGGTGGATAAAATTAATCTGGAACATTCTGTGCCAATGTATGCTGAACAGTTGGTGCGTGTGGTCAGCAGCCTTACTCAACCTTCTGATAATCTGCTTCATTATTGCTATGTACACTGCTACCTTAAGGTACGAAAAGGGAATTTTCTTTTTTATTAGTATCTATTTGCTTTTGGAATCATCAGATCAGTTTCCTTTTCTTGGAGTTGTAATTTCACAGAATTAGTACTTCATAAGAAAATTTAAATAAAATATAGATTTATTCATTATTCCAATTTAATATAATAAAAGTATACTTATTTTAAAGATTTTTCTTCAGTTATTGGAGATCAGTGGCTTGATGTTTATAAGTGAATGGTAGTTATAACTTTTGAAGATTTTGTCATTGATGATTTTTATCAGCAGTGTAAAAAAGAGCACTTCGTTTAATATGGATGCTTTAAATGACTTGTAATTTCTTTGAAGGGAACATTTATGTGAGGAATAATGTATGAAGAGGATTTAACACATTTTTTTTTTTTTTTTTTTTGAGGCAG